TTCAAGGGTAATTTCACTTTCCCAGGTAACTTTAGGAAAATGGAATTACCCCCTCCATTCTGGCCATCTCTCCCCCACCCCCTTGCTATACTTACCTTTGGGTGAACGCTCCTTGCCCTCTGCCAGTGCTGGTGTACTATGCGTATCCCATACTGCCGTGCAGCCCTGCGCTCTGTATTTTGAATTTCGCTCGCAAATGGCGAGCACTCATTGGTCAATGCGGTCTGCGCTGACCAATGAGAAGCAATAATGACCTTCTGATCACACTGGTCAATGGGAAGTGCTTCTTGCTAAGAAGCGCTTCTCATTGGTCAGGTGACCAGTTGGATGGGGTAGTTCCATTTTCCCAAATTCACCTGGGAAGGTGGCATTACCCTGTTAAGTGTGTGTCAGTGCAGAGTAAAAAAAATAAAATAAATTTGTAGTAGATCATGTGTCACACTATATGCACATTGTATACCTTTTAATTGCTGTCCGGAGCAATTTCTTAATTTTTTGCACACGCATGATAAAATCTGAATTTAATTTTTGTCTAGAAAACAGCCTAAAACCCCCAATCAATTATATATATTTTTTTTTCTGAAACAGAGGCCCTGTAGAATAAAAAAAATGCTATTTTCTTGTTTGTGGGTAAAATATAAAAGGTGAGGTTGTGTCAGGTAAATAGATAAACATGTCAAGCCTTAAAATTGAGTGTGGCAGTGAAATAGCAATAAAACCCCAAATTGGTCATAGGCAACGCTTTAAAAACTTTTACAGCTCATCAATATAGTATTAACAGTGATCGATGGCCCTAGAATTATTGGTCTCATTCTGATGTTTGTGGTGATATGTAACGTGTGGCACGTTTTTGGTTTTCACATGTAGGCGCTCCCGGCGCATGTTTGCGTTTGTACGTGGGAGGCTTTAAAAAAAATGTACGTGACTTTAATCCTTTTTGATTTTTTTGTTTTTGTTTACACTTAACGTTATTGCATAGCTTCCAGGTTCAGTGACTGGAGGGGAGTAAGCTGCTGGAGGTATGCTAATCTCCTTCCGATCAGGGTTCCCAGACCCGCACGGGGAACAACAGAGCCCGGGATAGTGTGGGGTGGGGCACACATTCTACAGCTCTGCCCGAAAGCTTGTATGTGACAGCCAGGCACCGGCTGTAAAAAGATGGTACCACCAGCTGTGTTCTTGGTATAACCACTTTAGGACCGTGCCAAAATATATATGTTAGGCAGTCCTGAAGTGGTTAAAGACCCTGCAAGTACAGAAACATACCATTGATGTGCTAGAAATGTACACAGCTTCTGTGTCCTCGTGTGCTGACTATAAACAGCATTTTTGTGAACTGAGTGGTGTCTGCCCTTGCTAGTTGCCTACTGCTAAACTACTGAAGCACTCCTACTCCCCATCTCATTTATTATATGTCTGAACATCGGGAACTACTTCATTACTGGTACTGTTAAAGAAGAAGTCACACCTTGTATTATTTTCACAACTTAGTCACCAAACTCCCACAGTGTATGTTGCTATATCACCTGCTTCTGTATGCAATAGAAACTGAGACTTTGACAGTTCATTCTTCTCTATTCCCGATGACCATGCTCTGAAAAGGAATACAGCCTCTTGATTGACGGCTCTTATCTCACTATCTCTGCACTTTCCCAGTATAAACCAAGGCTCCTCTTCCACTTATAGTGCATGTGCTGATTCCTGTGAGATTGTGCCTCCTCCCTCCTGTGACCTTGCTTGTGTCTAGGAAGTGCAAGGACAGTGAGATAAGAGCTGGCGATGAAAAAACTGTCTCCTTTGCAGAGCATTGTTGAAAGTGAAGCAGTGAGGAGTGAGCTGCCAAAGCCTGTATCTCAGTTTCTACTGCACACAGAAGAATGGAATGAAAAGGACCATATACTGTTAGAGTTAGGTAACGGCTGTGAGAAATAATACAAGATGAGACTTCTTCTTTAACGGCCACCATAGCCCACCCTGTTCCATCAGTTTTTGTGCATGCACTTCTCACTGTCTTCCAGTCTTTTTCAGCCTGAGGTAGTTTCCTCCTGTCATTGCTCCTTTTGCAAGAGATCCACTTTTTTTCATCTTGGTTAGTCCTTGCTGATGCCTATAGTAAACTAGTCACCTCTGGCCACTAAACCTCTCCTGCTCTTAGCAGTTTGTTTGTGGTTCCTTAACCACTTGCTGACACCGGTGTTTACACTCCCTTCCTGTCCAGGCCATTTCTCAGTATTCAGCGCTGCGGTACTTTGACTGACATTTATTCCGTCATGCAACGCTGCACGGAAATTAATTTTATACCATTTTTGGGGGACAGATAGAGCTTTCTTTTGGTGGTAATTAATCACCACTGGGGGTTTTTTGTTTTACTATATTAAGGACAAATTACTGAAAATTTTGGGGAAATTAAAAAAAAATATGTTGGGGGGTGGACGGAGACTTTTATGGCTTACGCAGATAAAAACTGCCCTCCTCTCAACTAACAATTTTTTGTAACTTGACAGGCACTCTTTAAGGTGATGCTGGGGGTCCAAAAGACCTCCAGTGTCACCTTAAACTCCAAATAAGCTATTGAAGTGCAGATCACACTGCACCGCTGCTGGCGATCCCGAGCTCCGCTGTGCCCAGTGTGGGACCAGCATAGCAGCTCTGCGACCAGAGATCAAACTGGGATCAATACAACATCTCCGTTTGATCTCCTCCGCTGAATGCAGGAAGTGATGTGTATTATGGCACTCTCCAGTACAGAAGCTGGTGAAGCAGGTCTCTGCTTCATCAGGTTCTCTGGGGGTCCCTAGGTGACATTAGGGTTCTTAAAGACCCCTGTTGTCTCCATAAAGAGGACCTGTCACTGCAAACTGGCTATCACACAGCTTTGTCCCGCATGCAATTAAATGTTGTATGTAACACATGTTACATATCGCCGCAAACATCGCAGTGAGAGCAATAATTTGAGGGCCATTAATTACTGATAACATTAACTTGAGTGTTAAAATCTTTTAAAGCATCGCCTATGGCCAATTTTGTGTGTGGTCGTTTTCTGCGATTTTGTGGGCGTGCGCAATTTTAAAGCTTGACATGTTTGGTGTCTATTTACCCGACGTGAACCCGTATTTTATATTTTACCAAAAAATTGGGGTGATTTAAATGTTTCATAATATTTCATAGGGAAACCGTTTTTTTTTCTTCAAAATTTAGGGTACTTTTTTTTTGTGTTGTAGTAAAAAAAAAAAACCCCGCAGTGGTGATTAAATACCACTAAAAGAAAGCTCGTATCTGTCCCTAAAAAATTGTATAAAATTCATTTCAGCACAGCATTGCATGACGGAATAAACGTCAGTCAAAGTACTGCAGCGCTGAATACTGAAAAATGGCCTGGACAGGAAAGGGGTTTAACACCCTGGTGTTTAAGTGGTTAATGAACTCAACGAAATGGATCTCACGGTATCCTGTTTTTTTTACAATTTATTATGGAATGATTAAATGCTTCAGTGTGTGTAGTGCATGTGAGGATGTCTGGTTAAAAAAAAAAAAAAGCCCAGCACCAGCTCTGCACCTGATTGCTTGCTTCTTCAGACTGAATATCTGGATTGCGCAACTTGGAAATGGTGGGGACTTATCGCCTGAGTCATTTAGGCTACATTCAAACTAGGTGTGTTTTATATGCGTTTAAAATGATATTTTGTAAATGTGTGTGTGTGTATATGTATATGTGTGTGTGTGTGTGTATGTGTATGTGTGTGTGTATGTATATATAATCATCTAATGATTTCCAATGGATCTATTCATGCCTTGCATTTAGATGCTTTTATCCGCAGTCAGTCTAGCTACGTTTAGGAAAAATAGAAGTCGGGTACGTCCAGAAATTAATTACTTGTAAATGCATGTAAACAAGACTTGTTTATGTGCTGAAATCTCATTGGCTACTTTAATGGACAAAGGACAAATGCATCTTAAACGCACATGCGTGCAAATGTGCATAAATGTGTGTTAACCCGTGTCATTTTAAGCATCCAATAGCATAAACAAACCATCTAGCCTGGCATAAAATCGCAAGTGTGTATGAAGCCTTAGGTCTGTTCTTGCAATTCATTTGAGAACCAGAGCTGCACTTGTCAACTCCTGAGTCCAAAATAAGGTAACAATGAAATATGTGTGTGGAATGTTTCCTTGACTAAAAAAGAAAAATGTTTTTATATACAGAAGATTTTGGAGCAGATTATTAAAAGGACACAAACTGAGAACTTTGCCAGAAAAACAGATATTAAAAGAAATACTAAATCCATATATAGGCATCTGAAGTTATTGCTGACATAAAGAAAATAAATAGATTCCTTTCTTGTCATTCCTTTCTTTCATCTTAAATTGCATGAACATTGCCGATTTACAGGCAAGGTAGGATCTCTCTTTCCTGGAGGTATCATAAATAGTATATTTGTCTTCCCTTCACTGCCTGGATCCACTACCAGACTGCCTCAAGTTAAAGTTTACACAGGGATAGCCATGCTTTTCCTCCCCCCATGTGGCAGCATACAGACCTGGTGATTGGTTGCAATGTGAGTAAAACCAGGGTGCAGAACCCTGCCATCCCCTCTTATTAGCATGTTAACTAGAGAGAGGATGAGACCAGGGAAGGCAAAATATTGGCATATTAAAGGAGAACTATGGGGTCAGGGTTTTTCCCATAAATGTCAGTCAAAGTACCGCAGTGCTGAATACTGAAAAATGGCCTGGATGGGAAGGGGGTTTAACACCGCGGATGTCAACTGGTTAAATAATTTTGAGACTTTGGATTATTTCCTGACAAAGAACCTGTTCCTTTTGTTTGTTCTGCATTTTAAATACCAGCGATGACTAAACACAGTTGTTTACATCTCCTAGAACAACAAGCTTTGTCCCCAGCATTTCTATAAACAGTTAGTTTTGTGTCAAACACAGTTTTGGTGATTTTTTTTTTTTAATGGGATATTAAAATGAATTACCCATATTTTGTCTTTCAGGTGCCGGAGAATCTGGAAAAAGCACAATTGTAAAGCAGATGAAGTAAGTTTTTAGTTTCTGCTAGTCAGGGCATGTGTATGTATGTATGTAATGTATGTATGTATGTATGTATGTGTTGATGTTCATTTGCCTAAACTGGTTTTTGGACAAGCAACTTTTTTTGTTTCTTTTTAATATCCTTGCCATTCTGACCCTGAACACGGGCCAAACCTTCAGAGCCAAAAATTGCTAGTTAAGGGCCAGTGTTATTCACAAAAGGGTGAAGAGTTTGGAGAAGGCAGAAGTGAACAATCTAGGACTGCCTGTATATAAGCACATGAAGTACAATGGCAAAAAAAAGTCTGTAAGCTTTTCGCTGCAGTAAATTTTAGTCTCTTTCACCAGATATTATTCCACCTTTCATCATAAACACTCTTCAAACCACGTCTTTTGTAACTACCTCTGTGTTTCCAAATGTCCTCAATTTGAAAACGGCTCACCTCTTCAGGTGAGCCTTATCTATACAGCAAAGTAAAATTACCAAGACTGCTCCATGTTCTCTACCGCAGAATCACAAACAGAATAGCGCAAAACAAGAAAAGATGTAGACCATAGTGTGAACCATAAAAACTATTTATTTTTTTTAAATTTAAAATGCAGCTAAAAACTCATCATAGACCAGAAATGAACATGGATCCGGTCATTTCAGTTTTCTCCTCCACCGTTGTGATAACCGTTCCGATCAGCAGAAGATCTGTTCACGGATCCCCTCCCCTGCTGATTGGAACTGAAGGCACCCATGTGAAATGGGCCTTACATTCTGTGGTGCACTATCCTGTGCACCAACAAAGAGATTTTCAACCAGATCTGAGCATCCTTTCCTCTCTAGGCCTAGCCTGCTGGGCACACTAGTATCCGCAGGTAAAAGAAATGGGGGATCCACAAGAGCGGGGAAACCGAAGTGATCCAGAAATTCAAAATATTCATACATATATATATATATATATTATATTCCCAAGGAGTAGATATTGGTTTGTGTGTTATATTTTTCCCAGGGAATGTATCCTTTTGGGGGATATTTCTTCTTTACTGGACACTAGTATCCCCAGCACTACACCATAATTTACAAATATTTAATGTTCATGTCTACTTTACATATTGCAATTAAATCAGCTAGCACAGTACAGATAGGGTTAACACAAACCCCTCACAGCCCCTCCTAATATTACAAAGAAGGAAAAGAAAAGTTTTAGCAAGTAAAGAAGCAAGAAGCTTTTTAATGTGATGTGAATAGGAACATTATAGGTGTTATTCACAAGAGGGTGAAGAGTTGGGAGAAGGAAGGAGAAGTGAGCAATCTAGGACAACATAGCTGATTTGGAAACATTCTCCAATTCAGCTCACTTTCCAGTTCAGCTATGTTGTCCTAGATTGTTCACTTCTCCTTCCTTCTCCAAACTCTTCACCCTTTAGTGAATAACCCAGTAAGTCTGTACAGAAACTGGCACCTCTCCTGATTCCCTGCTGCGCTCAGTGGTTCCTCCTGATGACTGTAATACGGGACCCAGTAGTGAGGTAGCGGTTGGTGGGATTTCTTCATACCTTCAAAGACTTTGCCATTGCACCCACTTTTTTTTCAACTTTTTCCCTGTGGAGATTGGAAACACCTTGATGAGCTGTCGTCGTCCCCCGTGTTTGTTGGCTTTGTACCTGTTTGGGGAGAATTTTGTTTAACCAGTTGACATCCGGGGTGTTAAACCCCTTTCCCATCCAGGCCATTTTTCAGTATTCAGCGCTGCAGTACTTTGACATTTATTCCGTCATGCAGCGCTGTACTGAAATTAATTTTATACCATTTTTTAGGGACAGATAGAGCTTTCTTTTGGTGGTATTTATTCACCACTGGGGGTTTTATTTTTTACTATATTAAGGAAAAATTACCGAAATAAAAAAAAAAAAACTGTTCAAACATTTATTAACCCCTTCATGACTGAGCTTGTTTTTGGTTTCTGTTCGTAAATGACTGACACACTTTTGACATTTTTGCTGTGTGATTCTTCCACATCAGTAATATATTACTTTCAAGAATAGATACATTATGTGTCTATTACATTACATTATGTATCTATTCTTGAAAGTCAAAAAGATAAAAAAAAAAAAGCCAGTATAGCTTGAGAGATATATCTCTCGATCTATACGAGCTGTCAGTGGCTGTAATGTCATATGTAACGTGTGTAGCGCAATTGTCGTTTTCGCTCGCTGGTGCACCGGACGCGTATTTACGTTTATATCTGCGTAAACGTGGGGTGGGGGAGTTAAACATTTTGTGGGTTTTTTTTAAACTTTTTTTTTTTATATGTGACATATTTTATTTTACTTTTTTATATGTGACTTATTTTTTTTATTTTTTTTATATATATATTTTTTGGCACTTATTGTTATTGCTATTATTATATAGGGGGATAACAATCCCCCTATATAATAGCAAAGGCACACTGACAGGTCCTCTTTATGGAGACATTAGGGGTCTCTAGGACCCCTAATGTCACCTGGGGTGAGTGTTTTTTCACATTCAGCCCACAGGGTCAAACTGGAGATGCGTTGTGTATGGCCAGCTTTACATATGTATGTCATTGCAAAGGGGTGGAATAAAAGCATAGGACTGGCACCTGGCTTTTGGGGGGAACAGTAGCTATCTGAGCAAGTTTTTTTGTTTTTTTTTTCTTTACTAGCACATTTGCTCTTGCTGGCAGTAGCCAGTCAGTTTAGATGGGAGCCTCCCTTATGGCACAACCTTGTTGCCTGATATTTCAAGGCCTGTCTTGGCAGTCAGCTTCTGTAGTACAAATGATATATGCCACCCACAGAAGGTTTTCTCATTTTCGACAAGTATTTTCTGCTGGCTTGGATAAATCTTATTGGTCTACTGACATGCAAGGCAGTGCTATATGTATATTTCTCTATATATGTATGATATGAAAAAAGTGTGCTTACTTCTGGCCGGTTATGTTTTTAGGATTATACATGAAGATGGATACACGGAGGAAGAATGCAGGCAATACAAAGTGGTCGTCTACAGTAACACAATTCAATCCATAATAGCTATAGTGCGAGCCATGGGGAGGCTGAAGATTGATTTTGGAGATGTGGATAGAGTTGTAAGAGTCAAGTTTTTATGTTTTTTCTTTTCTTATCTGACATCATTGTATTACATAACCTATGAATTTGCTTGTATTAATTTTGCCCATTTTTATAGGGTGATGCCCGGCAGCTTTTTGTGTTGGCCAGTGCAGCAGAAGAAGGCGTTCTATCTCCAGAACTTGCTGGTGTTATTAAGAGGTTGTGGAACGATTTGGGTGTACAGGCATGCTTCACTCGATCTCGGGAGTACCAGCTTAACGACTCTGCCTCATAGTAAGTGATAGCAATGGGCAGTGCTTGATTAATTCTAGGTGCCAGGTTCTTGTGTTGAGTAAGTAATTGGAGCTAGCAATAGTACATTATACAGTGCAATGCAGAATACCACCATCTATAATGTCTATTGGATTTTTTGTATTACTCTATAGCTTGTATGTGTGTGTGAAAATGTCTGTGAGATTGTGTCTGTCAGTGTTTTTGAAGGCCTGTTCACACTAGTGCAGTGCGTTAATCACACAGTCATGTGCGATTAATGCAATGTACCTCGCAATTGCACCTTCCGCGCATTCTGGTGTGGAAGGTGTGTTGTGTTGCCATTCATTTGAATGGCACACCAAACCCACCTCCCACCCACAGTTCAATTGCCCGCACCAGAATGTGCAGTACCGCAATGCTGTGTGTTCCATTGCAGTGCGACTTAATGACTGAGGAGAAATGTGGGTCCTGAGGTTACACAAGCTGAGAAACACTGGTCTAAAGCATTGTAAAGAAGTAAATAATTTTCCTAATTTAGAAGAAACCAAGTAACACCCGGAGAAGTGTAAAGAGAGGAAAAGTCAAACCTTTTTTTTTTTTTTTGGCCATACTTCTTTTTTGGGTCACGGGAGTACATTTTACTAATGTACTCTTGTGACCCAAAGTCAGCATAGAGCACGGTACTATAGAGCACAGAACCGCATTTCAGCCGGGAAGGATCCCAACAGTATTGTACCCATTACAATATCCACCCAGCTGCATGATTGAGAGCTGGCTGTGCCTCTCTAGTGCCAGGGCCAGCTGTCTGTCTTTCCAGTGAGTGCTGGAGAAGGAGGGTCCCTGCAGGGAACAGTGGCTGTAATGTCCAGTGCTGGCTCTAAGTATTGGGAAGAGTGTCGTTTACTCCCCCAGTACTTCTCCTTTTAACCCTTTCGCTGCCACCGACGTAAGGCATACGGCGGAACAAAAGTGTTGGCATTTACAGTTCTGCTATAAGCTCATGGTCGATTTAGCAAACATAAGCTTATAGTAGAACTGTTCCCCGGACTTTCCCCGTCAAAATAATAGCTGTCATCACCGGACCGCTATTACCGAAAATACAGAATTTATGAATGGGGACTAGCACTCACTACAGAGGCTCCTCCCCATTCATAAACTAATGATAGTAAAATATTTTTACTATCATTAGTTTCTGAATGAATGAGAAGCCTATGTACTGAGTGCTTCCCATTCATTGTGTGCTGGGGCTGCAGAAAAAGAAATTGAGGACTTATGTCCTCAATTTCTTTTTCTATTTCAAAAGGGAAATGTCAGGGGTCTATTTAGA